GGATTTGGAATTTGCGGCTTAAACACAACCATATCCTGATACAACCATTACATGAAAACAAACGATTCTGTGACTTCTGACTGCATTTCTTTCATTCACTTTATGTTCCTCTTTCAATGGGATTTCTGTTTTAGTTATTTAGGAGACTACCTAAGATTTGTATTTTACTAATTCATTTTCTTAAGACTGTCTTGTTAACGTTGGACTATAATATATGGATGTGGTCTCGTTTGTGAGAGATTTATCCAAAGCTAGCGAGTGCTTCGGAGGGTTTATTGGTTTATCCGAGGGAAGAGATATTATTCTCTCTGAGAGTTTTTACTCTGTTCTGTTTTAAAATATCCTTATTGGTTTGGTTTTTGAATTTGGTTCTAAACTCTTAACAGATAAGTAGAGAGCAGTGATGCAAGATGGATACTAAGTAGCTTGGCGCTTACTTACCCCTGGAAAAAGCATTCCAATCAAACGGCAAGCCTTGTCAGAGACGGAAAGCAGCAGCGTCTGTGATGGCAGCTGGATGACTGCACACTGCACTTCAAAGGCACACACAGTTATCAAATGCAACTCCATATGAGATAAGCATGAAGATGAAAAAAGTATGCCACACGATTAGGCAATCTAAACAAGGCCACAAATCTAGGCATCATAATGACTATGGTGAACATAGGAAGAGAGTGATAGCCTTACGGAGAACTTGTTTAAAGTCTATTTACTTTTGAAATGATTTCATTTTTTACAGCTATGTCGGTCTTATATTTATTATACCAGTAACCACAGTCATCATATCGCGATTAAATTTGAAAAATAACGAGTGAAATAAATAGGAAAAGGAGACAGCTGGTATAAAATATCAACAAAACTCACAAGTTTCTTATCCTGAAGTTGTCCTAAAAACCCATGTTGACTCATGGCCCGAAACACAAGGAAGTCAGCTTTGCCAACATATTGCCTGATGCAAAGTTAGGTGAAAAGATTAGTGGGAAGAAAATAACATCAGCCCATGACCAAGTGGAAATAAGGAGAGCTATAGCACGAAGATAGTACTTGTTATTCATATGATCCTGAGATATAAGACGAACAATCTGCATAGTCGGTGGCCAATTTGCTGCCAACCTGGGGAAATGCACAAAAAGAGAAAGACAAAATTATTTTAGCAGAAACAATCATTTCTCAACTGCAAACGAAACCTATTTTTCTCTAGACAAGGGTTAACAGGAAATCAGTTTTAATATTTCAGTGATGCACTTACGAATCAGAGGCTGAAGCACTTCTGTAACCCTGTCAAATATAAACAAAGACGTTACCATGCATAAAGCAACTCAACAAAGTTCTCAAAATGAAGATGCGCTTAAGCATAAAGCAAGCATGCGATCCTGTAAAAGACATAAAAGGGGAAGAAGAGCTTCTGGGGGTGTGACCCAGTGCCTAAACACACCTCAAGTCTGGTGATAAGAACAGGCTGTCCTTGTCTTTGTCCAGATAAATTTCCCTATAAGAATTTGAAAATGTAAGTTAGTCTATTACCACCGCTATTTCAGACAAGGTAAAGTAACATTACCTCCCAGACTTTTACATATTTGGATTGTGAAGTCTGCAGAGCCCCTGATGATGGCTGTGACATCTGCATATTAGGAGCTGAACTGTTACCGCCACCAAGTTGTATTCCTGATTGCGCTTGTTGGCCAACTCCTGGAGTAGGCATCATTCCACTAGTTCCAGAGGAGACATTTCCTTGACCGAGACCACTCATCATGTTTTGGTTCATGGAAATTCCACCTTGCATCATCTGTACTCCAGAATGACTTCCTTGATTCATCCCTGGCATTGGTTGAGAAACACCAAGGTTTGAAGCAACATTTGACGTTGTTTGAGGACTAAAGGAATTATTAGGACCCGGGCTTTGTCCTGCTTGTGCAGTTCCCATTAGTGCACCCGAACCAGCCATTGAAGTAATTCCCGGCTGTCCAGATGAAAACACATTTTGTGAAGGAGGCAAAGATGTAGCCATTCCTGTTGATATCATATTTGACATATGCATAGCAACCGCACTTTGCCCCGCCGATGAGGCTGCACCCGCCAGAGCTGCAGAGCTCATGACTTGTCGGACTTGAGAAAGATTATTCAGCAGATTTACATTAGCTCCACCGGGAGGAACAGTACGCACTGGTGCAGTCGTTACACCCACCACAGGCTTAACATCTGGTGCATTATCGGTATTGGTGACCATTTCTTGAGAAACAGGCGATGCTGAAGATGTTTGAATTGAAGGAATAGCTTGTGTAGCAGGCCGAGCTACAGGCGGGATATGGGGAAAACTTGGAACTCCTGCCATAGAAGATACAGTGGTAGGTTCCTGAAATTTAATCCCAAAAAATCCAATTAACAAGGGTTAATGTATTTATATGATGAGATGTTATCTAAAAAGGAGACTGAGTATGCAATATCATTTCAGATGTTTAAATGGGATATTCATATAAACTTTAGCATTAAATCAATTTAATTAGAGCTAAAAATATATATTTTAAATGTCTTATCAAGCACCATAGAATAGATTTATTTAGTATATAGTTCTTATACTAATTAGTAGCTAATAAAGCTGCCTCCTCCAACTGACTAAAAAGATCAAATAGACTTACAACTTTCACAGTAGCAGTTGGAACTGGTCCAAGAGAAACTGGTTGCCGATTCAGAATAGGACCATTGGCTGAAAATCACAGAGAAAAATATCTTTACATAAAGAAGCAGAATAAAATTCTGAAAGACACATTAAAAGAAACTAAGATAGTTTAACTGAAAAAAAGGACTGGTCAGCAGAAGAACCTGATGCCACAGACGCTGGAGGTTGCGCAGTGACTGGAAGAGATGGAGCAATAGTGGCCCTGTCCACTTTCACAGGGCTTTGGGTCTGTGGCAAATTTGTAGCAGGACTTAAGGCAGCGCGTGCCTCCACAAAATTCTCTGAGATAAGGACAAGATAGAATGGGTTCTTAACGGTGTCAATAGACAAGTCTGCACTTTGTGGATTGAGCTTTCCCTGCATTTAAGAGAAAAAGTTCATAGCATTAAAATAGACTTACATCAAAATGTAGCACTGAGAATGAAGAGCCTTTGAAAGAGCTCGCTAACAAAAGAACTACTTATTTTAGCTGAACATCTAGTGATTTGCACATAGACACACAGTCTCACCGCATTGAATAGTGCTCTAATCTTGGGAAGCTGCTTTGGACACACAACAGACAAAGAAACAGAGCACTGCACACCAATATGGCAGGTTAGTAATTAAAAAAGGTAGCAAGTCGTAACACATGTAGAATTTATAATAAAAGGTACCCTAGAAAAATATGATGCCACTGTCTCAGCATCAGATAAACGACTTTCAGATTGTCCATCGCCATTTTCATTTCGTTCTGTATTTTGCAATTGTGGACGATATACAGGTGTGGGCAATGAGTGAGGGTTGCTGGCTGTGATCAGGATACAGTGCCTCTTCAGATCATTACTTGGTTGAGCTTGGCCTGAAGGAGGAGAAAACATCTGCGTCATGGAGTCAGAAGAAAATCGTGAGATTTAAGGATCTGAAATATCTCTGACAGAAACAGCACCATATACAATGAAGCCATGGAAATAAAAGTTTCAATGAGAAACTAAACTAGTCAAAAGTGGCTTGAAAAACAGTGAACCAACATATGTATATCTAGATGTGTCATAGATGATTAAAGATCAAGTTTCTCACCATCAATGCTTCAGCAAGCCCTTCGGCTGTGGCAGCCTCATTGAAACCACCACCGGCAAATTGTATGGACGAAAGCCAATGCAAGAAAATATCAACATCCCTTGTCCAGCCACTCCGTTGTACCAAGCAAGCTAAGAAGAACAAAATAATCACTAAAACGGAATAATCATGGCCATGAAAAAGCAGCCAATACAATTTTTGTATTTGGATATCACGGAAGTGGAGAGTAATACATACCACAATATGAACCATGGGAATTGAATATGACCAGTGATAGCTCAACATTAGAAACAGGGTTCCTCTGCAAGTTTAGTGAATATATAAAGGCTCGTCAACCATCGAATTAGACATCAAATTGTCTACTTACTCTACCAATTTTTTGGTGTCCCAATTATTTGAGAGATAATGGTTGTTTACCAATTAACATATAAAAGTATTAGCAATATACAAGTAGCAGTAGAAAACTATTCGCTCAAGAATGAAAAATTGAGTTTTCTCAAAAAAGAGGATGAGTCAGATAGATATAGTACCTCTCCATTTAACTCACTGCCACAGAAAGACCTGCGAAAACGCAGAGAGTGCATTAACATAAGCTAGAAGTGAAATTTTCACATACAGGCAGAGATATTAGTAGCTCAACTGGTGCCTAACCCACCAAAAATATACTTTCACAACTTCCAATATACTCAACACAAAAAACTATCTGTAACAAAGAGACTATGATGCACCAAGAAGCAGGGAGCCAATAGGAATCAAAGAGAACCGTTTAAAGTTTGATTAAGGTTTGCAGAGTTTCCGAAGGCTTTCATCTCTATAGACTTCTCAACAAGGACAACAAGCTGCTTAATATTTACTGACCTAA